ACTTTGGTATTTCACTCTGGGCCTGAAGGCATTTGTCCACTCTGGGGAGGGAGGGAAGCCCTTTAGCATTTCACATTTACGTAACAGTGTGGCCAAAATTGCTGTTGCATTATTGCTGCTGCTGCTGCTGGCCCTTTCTTCTGAGTGCTGGCAGATTTCAGGATGGACTATGCCAAAATTGTTGATTTTCCTTTTCAATTTTTGAATTGCCATGATTTCCAGTGTCCTCAGGACTCCACCCTTTCTGGTTTTGAGGCAATTTAGAAACCTAAACTACGTAACTGGCAAAAATGATGGAGAGAGATAATATAGGTGCACAGGAAGCAATTGATTATCAGATCAGCATCTACTGAATATGAGTGCTACCTACACCCTGAATCAGATATAAAAAAGCATAGTCCTTGCCCTCTAGGACCAAATAGTTGAGTTAGTATGTGTGTGTTACTGAGGATTGAACCCAGACCGTTGCACTGAGGTACATCCTCAGATCTTTATTTATTTATTTGGAGACAGGATCTCCCTAAGACCCTAAGTTTCTTGAGCTGGGTTTACAGTTGCACTTGTCCTGCCTCAGCCTTTGACTGTCTTAACCTTTTTTGTCAAGACACACAGAAGGCCACTTGAGCTGGCTTACTCAAAGCCAGAGGTTTTTATATGCAAGGGAAGGAAGGTTTCTGGGTCTCAATATAGGACTGAACCCAAGAGCCAAGTGTCAGTAGGAATTGGTATTACTAATACTTGGGTCCTGGTGCCTTCAGTCTCCCCCCTGCTACTTTTTCCTCTGAGCTCTATGTCCTGCTCACTTCCTGCTGACAAGTGGAATCAGCTTGAGAGGAGCTGAGATCACTCATTCCTGTAATATTCTCCTCCCTTCTACAAGGGAGAGTTTAAACTAGACACATGGCTGCTCAGTCAAAGGGCACACTTACCTCTAAGGCTGCCTTGCTGGAACTGTAAGCATTTACTAATCTCTGGCCACTGTGACACAGGTAGAAGTGATATGCACAACTTTTAGGTCATGCCCTTAAAGAGAACAGATGTTCTTCCCTTCACTGTTTTTCCTCCTTGCTGCCTATGTGTCATTAAGAAGACAGGAACTGAAGTTACTGTCTTTGACATAGAGGTGAAAGCTGCAGGCTGAGGACAGCAGAACAAAAAGAAGGAGCCCGCATCTATCCCCAGACTACTTAGGTTCAAACTTTTATATGAGAGGAAACATTTCTATGTTTTGAGCTGGTGGAACTTTATTGAAGAAATTAGACTCTTCCCTGACCAATAAACCTGCTTGCTCTGCTTTTCTACATGTAAGATGAAGAATAGCTACCTTATCGCTTCTAAATTTACCAGTCCTGAGTTGATGTGACTAAACATGAATTTCAACTTCACCTACCCAGGCAAGAACATCAGTTGGCCCATGTTCAATCTACTAGTCAGTTAAACTAAGAAGGGAGAATCAAATCCAAGCGTAGCTACTGGGGACCCTCCCAAAGTGATAAAGTGGGGGTACCTTTTAGTGGAGGGTCATCTACTTTATTGACCTGTGCTTATGTATTCTCACATGACATATAGGGAGCAAGTCAGCTCTTGGCCTCCTTTTGTAAGGGCACTAACCCTGTTCACGAGGGCTCTGCCTTCATGACCTAATCACCTCCCCATGACCCCACCTCCTAATACTATCACTTTGTGGGTTAGATTTCAACATGAGCTGGGGCAGGGCACAGCACAAAGAATGTAGACCGAAGATCAGTGCCTTTGGGATAATGGGGTGGACGATGGCCAGGGAAATGACAGTGGTGAAGAACGCTTTTCTTAATGAGGTAGGTCAGTCTTCATGCTCCTCATTGTCTCTCTTCCCCTATTCTCAGCAAACAGTAGAGTGTAGTGTTAAGTGAATGGACTCTAACTTGGGCAAATCATCCCCTCAGGGCCAGAAATTTCTTTATTTTCACCTATAAAAAATATATAGTTAATATCACAGGGTTAGGTTAGAACTAAGGGAGGTAAATTTATATAAAGTACTCAAGATAGCACCTGGCACAGAGCAAGCGCTATGCATATTAGCTATCACTGTTAATTACACCTCTCATACTAACTAGTACAATTTCATAAACAAATGCTTATCAAGCATTTGCTTAATGCCGGGGATAAGGGACCACCAGAACTGAGTAACTTGGCCAATCTCACAGCTAATGATTGGTGATACTGCATTTGGGCCATGTAAGTCTGAGTCCAAAAATGAGGAGTCATGGGGAGAATTCTTACCAACTTCCCCTCTCTACCTCCTTCCCTCCTTTCTCTTCTGTTCATCTTTTCCTCTCTTTCTGTCTCTATCTCTCTCTCTCTCTCTCTTCTTCACAGGTATAAAAAAAACAGTCTCTAAATGTAAGAAGCACACAGTCTACTGAAAAGAGAGACTAGTTAATTATTATACAGTAGCTCAATGGCATTGTGCCTGCCTCACAAGTGCGAGGTCCTGAGTTCAATCCTTAATACTAGAAATAAACTGGGTAGATGAGGGACAAGGAAGTCTTCCCAGAAGACATGACTGATGCTGAGGTCAGTGAGAGACAGCTATGTAAGACAGAAGAGGACCAATGGAGAAAGGCTTTGCCAAACACAGATGTTTTACTAAATTACGAAAAGTGGGTCACTGTCTAGAACACAGAACATGAAAGTGGAATATGCGAGGCTTGGAGAGCCATTTTTACAGCCTAATTATCAAAGAGCTGCTCTACGTGAAGAGGGCTCTCCAAGCACAGTTCAGTCCCATTACTAGGACAAGGTTGTGCTGTTATCCATGGGCATGTGTGGCTTTAGTTAAATAGAAGATGCAAAAACAAACATCTTGACTTTTTTTTTAGACAGGGTCTCACCATGCAGTTCAGACTGGCCTCGAACTCACTATGTAGCTCAGGATGGTCTGGAACTTGTGATCCTCCTGCTTCAGCCTCCCAAGTGCTGGGATTACAGGCGTGCACCACCACACCCAGCTTAACTTTTTGTGAGTCTGTTAAGATAATAAAATCCAAGTATAGAAAACCACTCCTTCCGAGTGGCTGTCTTGCTTGCTACTGTCTCTTCAGAGTCTGGGACAGAATCTGACATGGAAGACACACAAGCAGCTGCTTGCTGAATAAGTGAGTGAATTGGATGAAAAATGAGTGTATTTTATGTGTTTGCTTTTGGTACCAGGAATCGAACTCAGGACCTCGTGCTTGCTCAGTAGGTGGCAGAGCCCCTGAGCTAAATCCCCGGCCCATAATGAGTGCATTTTAAAAGCACCATTTGCTGACCTTCATCCATGTTTTGTGGGCTGGTGCTGACTGGAACAGCACTTTTGGCTCATGTCTGAAGGAGCCGATGCATTGTTAGGCCGTACATTAAGCAGCCTTCTGGACGGTTCCGTAAACGACCCAGCAGTCCTCTAGAGGCAGCACTGCCCCTGTAACTCAAACGTAGTAAATGGGCAAAGGGTAACTCAGTCTGTGTTGTCAGTGTTCTGCCACTGTGACAAACTAGATAGGGCCAGGGGTAAGGCTCAGAGGTGCGGCCACCTGCCTCGCAAGTGCAAGGGCCTGAGCTCGATCCCTGGTGCCAAACACACAAACAAACGAAATTATCCGAGATCATCAACTTGAACAAAGATTTATCTTTTATCTGTGTTGTCAGTGTTCTGCCACTGTAACAAACTAGATAGGGCCAGGGGTAAGGCTCAGAGGTGCGGCCACCTGCCTCGCAAGTGCAAGGGCCTGAGCTCAATCCCTGGTGCCAAACAACAAACAAACGAAATTATCCGAGATCATCAACTTGAACAAAGATTTATCTTCGACTCATAGTTTCAAAAGTTGCAGTCCATGGTTGGTTGGCCCATTGCTTTTGGGCCTGTGGTGAGGCAGCGCCTCATGGCAGGGGGCGCGCAGGGGAACAAAGTGACCTATCTTATGGTGGCCAAGAGGAAAAAGAGAGAGAGGGAACTGGGGTCCTAATATGCCCTGTAAAGCCACATTTCCAACAACCTTAATTTCCTTCCAACAGGCCTTACCAAGCCTTTACCACTGATCTTTGAGGGATATTTTACATCCAAAGGATAGCACTGCTTATATTTAGAACTCAGCTAGGAACATGTGAGGAACAGATATAAAACAGAGTCTCTATCTCATGGATTTAAGATGGATATAAAGGTGGAAAAAGCATGCACAAAAGAAGAATGGTCATTAGTAAGGCTGGTCATGTGATAGTGACTAATGGTAGTTTAACTCATGCATGGCAAAAATGCATGAGTAAGTGGAAAGTAAGATAAATAATTGAGGATTAGATTTCATAAAGCAAGCGCAATTTTACCTGGAGAACATATACTTAGAAATAATGATATATTAATTTAAATCTCACATAACCATATGAGTTAAGTATTCTCATTTTACAAATGAGATAGCTGAAGCTAACAAAGGTCAGGTAAATAATCCGCCTAAGGTTGCACAACCAGATGTCTCAAACTCAAGCCAGCTCAAGGCTACTCTCTTACTTTCTACCATGTACTGCTTTTTTTTTTTTTTTTTTTTTTTTTTTTTTTTTTTTTTGTACAGGGGATCAAACTTGGGCCCTTGCCTTTGCAGGCAGGTGTCAGAACCACTGAGCCAAATCCCTGGCCCTGTACTCTCTATTTTATTTCAAAATCATTATTAAGAGTCAGGCGCAGTGGCACATGCATATAATCCTGGCATTTGGGAGGCTGAGCCAGGATAATTGTGAGTTCAGCCTAAGCTGTATAGCAAATACCAGGCCAGCCTAGCATATGTATCAAAAAATATATACAAGAGTGTGATATTAAGAGGAAATGAACTCCTGTTAGTTTTTCTGCCTTGTGCACGCCATGTTGTTTCTCCTCTGTGATGCTTGTCTCAGAGCCAGCCTATTATGGACTGAGATCTCCATGAACTTCATTTTAGGGAGAAAAGGAAAGCATACTGAAATGGTATGTCTATTTAGAGCTCTATAGAATGATGGAACATCCTTCCCATGTGGATGAAGATGGGTATACTAAATTGAACTTTCACTCTCAAGGTGCTACCAGAAGGCCTGTGGGCCCAGAGAAAGGCTCCTCAGGATCTTCTGTTGCCTCTCCTCCTTGGATGCTCATAGCTGTGATTTTGGGAATCTGATGTTTGGCAATACTGGTGATAGCTGTAGTGCTGGGTTCCCTGGGAGTCATTCCCAGCATTTGTCCTCATTGGATTGTACATGAGAAGAGCTGTTACCTCTTTAGCCTTTCACTAGATTCCTGGTGTGAACGTAAGAAAAGATGTTCCCAGCTGGGATCTTGTCTCCTGAAGATAGACACCTTAAAAGAATTCAATTTTATAGAAGGACAAATGTCTTCCTATCCTATTAATTCTTTCCAGATTGGGCCTTCTCCCAATCAGACTGAAAAATTATGTCTCTGGGACAATGGATCAACTTTCTTTTATAACTTGTTTCAAATCAGAAGCACAGCTACCCAGGAAAACACAACTCATAACTGTGCATGGATTCATATGGGAAATGCTTATGACCAACCCTGCAATATTCCCTCCTTCCTTACCTGCAAAAAGTTGCTGTCAGGGGGATGGGATGGAGCAGAGAAGTATTTGAGATCATAAGGATGACAAAACAACAACCAAAAGAGTGGTATTTGAGGTCAGTAAAAGTGAGGAAAGTATTGCCGGTTTAGCAAGCTTTAGCCTTAGCTGAGAAATAGGATGAAAGGCTGTGATTTCTTGTCAACCCCATGGGGAAGTTAACATTTAATTATAATAAATAGAATCCTAGATGTGGAGTCAGGGGACCACTATTCTAAGAGATGCAGAAATAAAATAACAAAGACCAAGGAAATCTCTAAGATCTAGGCCAGAGCTCATGCATGTCAGAACTCATGGCTGGATCTTCAGTAACCTTTTTCCCACTTCAGTATCCTTAAAGGCTCACAAACATGGACTGCATGTCATGTATATAATTTAATCAGTGTGAATCTGGACTTGCATGCATATTGAAAGCCCCTGAAATGACTCAGTACCCCATTAATCAATCTTGTCGATATTATCCAGAAATCTGATGAGAGGCACTTGGCCTTGGTTACACAGCTTTTAAAATCCAAATGCCCAGTTTATCTATGTGCTGAGCTTTTTGTTTCCATATCAGCCCAACACCACTTTTCTGGTCATGCCTGGCTTAGCACATTTTCCCATTCTCTTCAATAAATTTAGCTACATTTTCTGTTACCAGGGGAAGCATACTTGTAATTCTTTGCTAGCTGTACACAAGAGCCTGGAGTCTATCTGTCGGATTCACCGTGTGGTATCAGTACTATTATATAGGACTGTGGGGATTTCTGTGTTGCTGAAAGGCAGTTGTATAACTTTCTTGTGTTTGTTAATGGGTCTAAAGAAATTGTGCCAAAATCACTGAATTGTTCGCTATAAAATGGCTAATTTCAGGTTGTGTCAGTTCTACCTCAATGTAAAAAAAAATGCTTATTAAAGAAACTTTGGCCTCTAAAAAAAAAAGGGAAATAAGTCATATGTATGCATCAAAATATGTATTTTCTTTCTTTCTGATACCAGAGATTGAACTCAGTTCCTTATGCTTGTGAGGCAGGGGCTGAAACCGCTGAGCTAAATCCCCAGACCCAAAATACTATATTTTCTAAAAATAATCAAATTCAATAGCAGAATTTCTTTCATTTTTTATTAATTATTTTTGAGATAATATCTTCCTATGTTTCCCAGGCTGCTCTTAAGTTTCTGGGTTCATGTGATCCTCCTGCCTTAGCCTTGGCCTCCCTGGTGCTAAATTTCTTGGATACTTTTCCCTCCTCTGCATAACTCTCATCATAGTCTGTTTATGTTGCTATATCAAAATACAAAAAAACATGAGCTGGGGATTTCGCTCAGTGGTCCCGCCGCCTTCTTCACAAGTGCAAGGACCTGAGTTCAATCCCCGGTACCAAAGAAAAGAAAAATCAAAACAAAAAAAAAAACACAGAAAAAAATATAATAAAAATTTCTTTCTTACAGTTCTGAAGGCTGGAAGTCCAAGCTCAAAGCACCAGTGTGTGTGGTAACTGATGAAGGCTGCTTTCTCCTCTTTAAGGTGGAGCCTTATTGCCTCACCCTCACGTGCCTGAAGGCAGAAGAGCAGAAGAGGTGAACTGCAGAGTGAAGCCTCTTTTATAATGACCTTAATTCTGCTCACAAGGGAGGAGCCCTCATGATTTAATCACCACTTTTTAATCCTATTACATTGGAAATTAAGTTTCAATATGAATTTTGGGGCGACATATAGAGGCCATAGCACTTCTGGTAAGATAGCAGAAAAATCAGGTAGTTAGACGCCAAAATTCACAGCTGAAATGGATTTGTGGGGTGGAGGGTGGCATTTGGAATGAGGCCTATAAATCACACTATCTTTTCTTCTAGCTGAGAACTAAAAAAGTAAAAATCTTTCAAATCACTTTATAAAGCAGTTTCCTTGGAAACTTTTTTTAGGAAAAAAAAAAAAACTTAGGTAAAGCCAAAATAGATTTTTAAATCCATGATCATGATCCAAACAATTTAAAATACAAAGTTGGATAAAGAAATGGAAACTAGTATAATGGCCAATTCTAAACACACACCAAAAAAGTGGAAAAAAGCTTTCCTATTATGTTGACAACATTCTTCTTCTAAACCACAAACTCTCAGTTAAACAAGTATTATAAGATAGTGCTTATTAATCCAGAATGGCTAGACAATGAGCCCATATACTTAATTTTATTTTTTGGATAAGTTATCAGATGCACCACTCAAGGCTTTCTATTTTTAAACTGTCTCAATATTTAATTAATCCTGGCTTATTTAATCTTTCTTTAATTCAGAAACAAGCATAGAAGGTTTTTCAGGGCCTCAGATCCTTGTTGTCTATTACTATAACAAACTACTTGAGCTGGATATTTCATTAAAAAAGAGCTTTGTTTAACAGTTTTGGAGGCTGAAAGACCAAGATCATGAAGCTTTATTGGTTCAGCCTCTAGTGAGTGTCCCCTTGGCTGCATTATAATATGGTTGATGGTATTATGGCAGGAGCACACGCAAGAGGGAGAGATCATATGGTGAGGCAGGAAGTCAGAGGCCATGGAGGGACCATCTTGCCTCTTTTATAACAACCCACTCTTGTGGGAACTAACCAGATTCACAAGAGAACTACAACAACAATTTGAGGGCAGCGTTCCCAATAACCTAACTACCTTCCCCTAGACCCCACCTCCTAAAAGGTTCTACCATTTCAGTACCACATTAGAGACCAAGCTTCAAGTACATGAACGTTTGGGAGACAAACCACATTATTCCTTTAAGGCCAAACTCCTCACAGCCTTCAGAACCCTGCTTGATCTGGCCTTAGCCCACCCCTTCCACTTCATCCTTCTCCCCCTCACTTAGTGCCTTCAGCTACTTCTGTTTCTCTTTGTTGAAGCTCATCCTCTCAATACATTTGCTCTGTCAACTTCCTCTGCCAGGAAAGCAGAGGAGAGAGAGAGATTCCTCCTCCTCCTCCTCTCATCATTCACATTTCCACTTGAACATCCCCTCTTCCTCAGACCACATTGTCTCTCTCAAGCAGCACATGCAAATTGTCAAGCGTGATATCCATCTACTGTCTTCACTGTGGCTCCCTGAAATAATCTTCCTTATGATACTTGCTTGAGTTTAGTCTTTGCCATGACCTCTATTAGACTGAAAGCCACTAGAGAAAGATCTCAACCATCTCACTTGTCATGTATTTGCTGGGCCTACAAGTGATCCAGACAGAATCAGCACTCAACAAATAGTTAATGAATCCACTGAATGAAATAAAATTAACCAAATGATATGTCTCTAAGGATGCTTCCTGTAAGCTACACACTGGGCAGCATCAACCTAGGAGTTCTATGCTTCACCAAGGTGGGTAAGGTGTAAAGTGTTTGCTCAAGCCTGACATAGAAAATATAGAATTGATTAAAGTGGAAAGTCAGTAGTTAAAAGTTGGTGGTTTCTGATTGGTTAAACTTAAATTTCATTTTGCTTTTTACACTGATTTGGATTTTAATGGCCTGCCAAACGATTATTTTAGCAATTTATTTATTGAGTCATTACTATATAGAAAGTGTGGAGGACACAATGTTGGATAGAATGGTTCCTGCCCTCTTGGAGATTATGATCTAATGAGAAGTTTAAAAAATTAGTTTTCTGTTCACTCTATTATTGCTTTTAAGACCACCGAGCTTAATGTCTATTTTCCAAAAGGTCAACAGTTTTTTCAGTGCTGAGGCATGAATCGAACATTTATTTTAACAAACAAGTGCTAAGCAAGTTTCTGCATTATTTGTCAACACTCTCCTTTGTCAGAATAGTGCTAAAGGAATGGCATTTCAGTAGAGAACTGCAGCCTTCATATTTCAGAGTAAACACATTCACAGAGGAATTAAACTGCATTAGTATTCTGATACCATCTTAAATCAAATTATTTAAGGTTCTTGATAAGCAACAAAGAAGATTGGAATGTGAGGCTGGAATGTGAGTCATTTTGTATTTCAAAAAGTTTGCTGAGATGAGATTCTTTATGTTAACCCTACTCCTTAGAAACAGAAGTTTTAAAACTACATCCTTATCAAAATCAAGAACATAAATTATTACTAAGAAGCTGAAACTGGACAACTGTTTGTGATAATGATGAAAGGCAGTGGGGCCCTGAAACTTTTTGATCCCTCTTCCTTTTGAGAATCAGTAAAAGCAGTGGAATCCTCTTCCCTCCAAACATGTACAGGAGTAGGGCCGGGGATTTAGCTCAGTGGTTCTGCCGCCTGCTTCATAAGCGCAAGGAGTTAGATCCTCAGTACCAAAAAAAAAAAAAAAAGTACAGGAGCACATGGCACACACAAAAGCACTGTGCAAAAGTCTCTGAAAGGTTTTAAGTCTAGGGCCCGAAAGATCTCTCTGATGTCTCTCCTGTCTTGCTGAACTCATTCTCTAGACTCCTAAGTGTGAGGGCAGCTGCCAAAGCACGGCTTTTTGTTCACACCAAACCTAGACAGTCTGCAGTTTCTCTGCTCCTGAATGACAACAGGCTAAAGTTAGTGGGCCAATACCAACTGCTTCAAGGAGGGATAGGTAAGATAAAAGTAAAACAAAAGAGAAGAGACAGACGGAGGATGAATGATTAAATAGAAGAGGCAAGAGACCAAGAGGAGAGCAACAACGGGAGGTGTCAGGAAGGGTGGCCTGCCCCCATTCCTGGATGTCTAAAACAAGTGCTTTTCACTCTCGGCTCCTGCTCACCCCCTCAGCAGCACGCACTCTCACCTCCCCCGGTCCTGGCTGCTCCTCTGGAGACCCCCTGGATCCTCTAACCAGCTGCCTCTTCTCTGCTCTCTCGCTCTTTTGGTACCAGGGATTGAACTCCGGTCTTTGCGCTTGCAAGGCAGGCCACGAAACAGTATTCTGCCACTCTTGATGGAATTCTCACCCTGGAAGTTTCTTTCTACTGTACCATGGCCTTGACACTTCTCAGTGAGAAGGACTATGATGAGAAATAAATAGCCTTTTCTGTCTTTATTTATCTTGTGTGGTTACTTGCTTACCCCCTTGTT